GGGATGAAATAACCTGTACACCTTAAATAGACCCACTGCTTGGATAATTAATCCCAGCACATACAACTAATTAAACCTAAATTAGAGTTGATTAGTTCCATGGACACGAGCCAATAGTGCTAAGTAGGGAGCCAATAGTACTAAGTAAGGGACTATCTGTCGGTGGGTCTAACAAATTGGTGAAATTTATTCTACCACTCACTGAAGCCTATGAAAATATGTACACAGAATCTTGGTCTAATGATAAATTGAAATGAAAAAGCACAAACAATTCAGGAATATATTTTTCTTTACATTTTGAAAGAAATCTTGGTTCCCTTTCTTTCAACTGTGAATGATATGGGCATGGTTTGAGACTTGTCCGGAGCTGCGAGGAAGTGCAAGAGGTTTCATGGCGGGAAGTGCATGAGATTTCCTGGCGGGAAGTGCGAGAGATTTCCTGGCGGGAAGAGCATGGTAGTGTCTCAGTAGAAGTTGCACGAAATAAAGAAGTTGTTATCCATAAAAAGTTGTTATCCATAAAAACTTGTTCCATATTGTACGTCTCAACTTCTAAAATGCCACTCAAACAAGTTTGTTTTGTACAACGTAGTCAATAACCTTCAACAACTGGTCGCTCGTCTGTTTGTACCTGTAGGAAGGAACGCAGAAATAATCTGTCATATCAATATGCACAATGCATGATAAAAATATTCAGAATTAAAATATGTAGTAGGTTTTAAGGAAACGCAACACATTTGATCAAAGCTGCTTTGTCGCTTTAAAGGTTGGATATTAAGTTTTAAAATATTTGTGTTTTTTCAGTTTATATGAATGAACGTGTGTATATATTTAAATAGTCGTAGTAACATTTCAGCTTTACAAAGAGCATAATGATAGCACCGAATACAGCCAATTGTTTAGACAAAATACAAATGACATTTACTTACTCCCTGATTGCCGAGGATCTATGTCATGTTCTTTCGGCGATCAGCTGCTCGTCTATGCCGGACTCGTATAGGCGTGTGGCTGTCATTGCTCGAAGAGAATGATTTGTGAAGAATCCCTTAAATTCAGCCATTTCACAGAACCTCTTCTAGCATCCAGACAAGGTGTGCCTCCCCACTGCTACTGAGCAGTACCACGCGTGTCAGGCTTTGGACATTTCAAAGGCACGGAAATAAAATGCGTCGCACCTACTTGGTCTGTCCAAGAAAGCAGTTATAGTCCGTTTGATTTTTTTGCAGAATTTGTGTCCTAACAATAAAAAAGTTGTTTAACAAATTATCATTAAAATATTTACACATTTCACTATTTGTTACAAGGGAGGGTGCAAAGAGAGGAACAACCAGGTGCGCAGAAATCATTAACTTTGTGCACTTGTGCGTGTCTCACAGCACCTGGCTGTTCCTCTCTTTACTCCTCTGCACAGCATCTGAGACCACTAAAGTACTGTCGAAATAGAAAAAACTTGTTTTTCAAATTGATATCTACACTTTATGTATTTAATATGTGTAAGTGTGAAATATCTGTTAAGCTAAGTTCGGCCGAACTACAGTCTCAGTCGTAGGGAGATAGGAAACGTAGAAAAAGGACTTTACTGAGGAGAAATTAGTGCAGAAATGAGGTATGGGGTTTTTTTCGAATTCCAATGCGACTTATTTGGAACAGCCCATGGCTTTATGCAAATTAGTGTGCGATGATATTATATCATAAAGGACAATTTTTAAATGTCCATTTTGAAATTAAACTTAGCTTCATTATCAACTATAGCTGACATAAAAAATAATAACTTTAGTACTGAAACTATAAAGGATGTTGCTACCATGGAGTGTCACTATCACTATAAAAAGAAACAAGTAGGAGGGGTCGCCTCAAAAGCAATATAACTATAACTATTGCAAACACCATTTTCATGGGGGTGTGGGGGGTGAGTTGTGGAGGTGTGGGGTGTAGAGGTGTGAGTTGTGGGGGTGTGAGTTGTGGGTGTGTGGAGAGTCGGTGTGTGGGATGTGGGGTGTAGAGGTGTGAGTTGTGGAGGTGTGAGTTGTGGGGTGTGAGTTGTGGGGGTGTAGTTGTGAGATGTCGGGATGTTACAATAACAATATATGAGCACAAACCTTAAAGACGTGTACTTCTCATAAATCCTGACAGGACGTCGTTGGGGATTTTCCTTATTTTCTGCAACTACCACCCACTTAGGGCTTACATTTTTGTGTTTAAGTCCCCCTTGTTCGTCTTTGTGACACCCTCAGAATATCGCAAATGCTTTTGACCATTCTTCATCACAATGCTGAAATTACCTCTTTCCCCAGTTTTCAACGAATGATGTTCATCCCCAACCCGAAGACAAAAGCAGATACCATTTATGTAAAACATTGTGTCCAACAGTTTTTGTGGCGTTTCATCGCCCAATATCCCCTTCTGCCATAGTAAATCCTCTTGTGCACGAGTAATCACGTCAGCTTTTCGCTTATGAATACCAATTCCACTCTGGGCCAATGATCTCATTTTCGCATCTAACATTTTCTGTAGAGAGGCAAATTCAAAATCAGCATTGAAGTTTACATCCTTTACCGTTTTCCCGGAGGAAATATTGAATTGACATGAGGATTTCATGAATGGTTTTTCCATGGTATTCGCCCCCTTTCTGGTTCTTCACTTCTGTCACAAACAATACTAATTGTTTACATAAATCCTCATCACTTAACTTCAGAAGAGTCTGCCCAAAACGTAAATCTATGGCCTTTCTTTCCTTGTACCATGAATCAAAAATACAAATTGCCCACTGACACTTTTTCTAAGTATTTTTATTTGTAGACATATTTTGTAATTCCATAAATTCCTTGTCGGGCAGAGGTCTTCCAAAACGGGAAGCATTTATGCAGTTAGAAAATTTGTTTTCAATTTGTTGTGAAGCACGCACAAGCTCTTCATCAGAGGAATCATTGCCTACTTTTGTTTCAGATTTGTCAGTCATATTCAATATCAAAGTCGGGCTTTGCATAGTCTGAATCTATCAGTTCTTGAAACTCAGAGTATATATATCTGTTTCATCAAATGATATATCAGCATCTTGTGAGAATTTGGTCTGGGTAAGAAATATTTCGTCATCGGTGTCGCTGGACATACTCACTGAACCTGTTTTCTCAATATGGTTGTTGCAACTATCATACACGTGTGTACTCCGCCTTATAAAGGTCTCCAATAGTCGCAATATGTGAAATGCACATGCTTCCAGTGCTTTCTCATGCCGCCAGAGCTGCTCTACTTTTAAGACACCAATATCGAACGACCTGAATAATGGAGTCTTGAATTTAGGCTAAAGTAGAATAGACTCCTCAAACACGTCAATTTTCGGAGCACGAAGTCTAGTCCTCGGCGCTACCGTGCCTCGGACTAAATATCATGCACAACTATTGGCATATTTTGGGAGTCTATTCTATACTTACAACCAATGAACATAAGACAACTTGAAATGATCAAGAGCTATGTGCCAGTGCCAATCACTGGGATTCAAAAAGTGTGCAAATGCTATGGAAGAAAGCTGTAGTTATGTAATATTAATCAAATGGAAACCGAGGGCTATTGTATTGACAAGCTAGATAGTTTGAGACAGGAATGGAATAACCCATCTTCCCTTTGATAAAATGGACCAACTGCAGAGACTATTAACCCAAGCACAAACAACTAACTCAGCAACTAAACATAAGACAACTTGAGTGAGTGAGTGAATTTAGTTTTATGCCACTTTTAGCAATATTCCAGCAATATCACAGCAGGGGACACCAGAAATAGGTTTCACACATTGTACCCATGTGGTAAATCAGCTGGTATTCAGCATGACAAGCAAACGCTTTAACCACTAGGCTACCCCACTGCCCTTAAAACAACTTGAAAGGACAAATGTACAACTCTATTCCTAAAAGTAAAACTATGAATACAATATCCCGTTACAATAGGTCCTGGCAGACAATGGAAATACATTGTATTGTAGTAACATGGTTGAAATAGTAATGTTCTGTTTGATGATTAAAGATCGATATAGGACATGTTTCACTGACAGGTTTGCAGTTATGTTTGTACAAGAACAAAAAAGGTATGAAAGGTTTCTTTATTATGAAATTGAAATAAATTCAAAGATGGAAATTGAAATAAATTCAAAGTTGACAACTTTTTTGGTACTTTGCCTCTTGCATCTTGACTAAGGAATGAGTAATGTAAGAACAGAAATCAGACCTACCATTGTTTACCTAGAGTTGTCATAGGTTACGTGTTTAGAGTGAGTTTTGTATAATGTTCCTTACGACACTGATTCAGTTGTATCATGGGGTGTCTGCTTTTTCCCAAAGGAAAGACAAAAGCAATGAGGTCTGAGATATTTAGGGGCGGTGGGGTAGCCTAGTGGTTAAAGCGTTTGCTCATCATGCCCAGGTTTGATTCCCCCAGTGAGTACAATGTGTGAAGCCCTTTCCTGGTGTCGCCTGCCGTGATGTTGCTGGAATATTGCTAAAGTGGTGTCATACTCACTCACTCACTGAGATAGGGGGCGGTGGGGTAGTCGAGTGGTTAAAGTGTTTGCTCGTCATGCTGAAGGCCTGGGTTCGATTCCCCACATGGGTACAATGTGTGAAGCCCATTTCTGGTGTCCTCAGCCGTGATATTGCTGGAATATTGCTAAGAAGCAGCGTAAAACCACTCACTCACTCACTCACTCACTCACTCACTCACTCACTCACTCACTCACTCACTCACTCACTCACTCACTCACTCACTCACTCTCACTCACTCACTCACTCACTCACTCACTCACTCACTCACTCACTCACTCACTCACTCACTCACTCACTAATATTTACCACTCTGTTAAAACTGATGAGTACAGGTATGACACTGATGAACAGACTGACAGATCTTAGTTTTGAAGCCAGGATTATTCTTCTGGCACACATAGCAAGTTGCAGAACTTTAGATGACTGGACCATGTCTTGTATCATGTTTGATGTATGTGCGTCTGTCTTGCAGGTCTGCCCATCACGACTCCCACCTCCACCATCAACAAGGTGTGTGCATCAGGGATGAAGTCAGTCATGCTGGCCGCTCAGAACCTCATGTGTGGCCACCAGGTATGTCTCAGGCTTGACCATTCAGTGTTTATGGTTCCATGCAAATTTGTGGTGTCTCACAGTCCCACCTCAGTCAATAAACTTGGATATGGTGTCTGCCACCAACAGATTTGTGGTGTCTCACAGTCCCACCTCAGTCAATAAACTTGGATATGGTATCTGCCACCAATAGATTTGTGGTGTCTCACAGTCCCACCTCAATCAATAAACTTGGATATGGTATCTGCCACCAACAGATTTGTGGTGTCTCACAGTCCCACCTCAATCAATAAACTTGGATATGGTATCTGCCACCAATAGATTTGTGGTGTCTCACAGTCCCACCTCAGTCAATAAACTTGGATATGGTATCTGCCACCAATAGATTTGTGGTGTCTCACAGTCCCACCTCAGTCAATAAACTTGGATATGGTATCTGCCACCAATAGATTTGTGGTGTCTCACAGTCCCACCTCAGTCAATAAACTTGGATATGGTGTCTGCCACCAACTAGATTTGTGGTGTCTCACAGTCCCACCTCAGTCAATAAACTTGGATATGGTATCTGCCACCAATAGATTTGTGGTGTCTCACAGTCCCACCTCAGTCAATAAACTTGGATATGGTATCTGCCACCAACAAATTTGTGGTGTCTCACAGTCCCACCTAGTCAATAAACTTGGATATGGTGTCTGCCACCAATAAATTTGTGATGTCTCACAGTCCCACCTCAGTCAATAACCTTGGATATGGTGTCTGCCACCGACTTCTAGAATGCCACTCACACAAGTCACCATGTTGGATGCTGCACCTCCAGAAAGGAGAAATAATAATGTCTGAAATAATAAGTAATATGTGTCAGATCAGATCTATGTCACTGATTTATTTGATTCACCCAAAATGACAACAACAAACTTTATATTGAGTTTGTAAGCAGATGGATGGATGAACTGGATTACCTCCCTTTTACCACTTGGCAGTGTAAGCCTTACAGAGTTAACCCCCTTTACTCAATATCTTTATAATGCAGTCATTGACATGTTTACTCATGAAAGTAATGCAACTTGTACAAATCCTGTATGCTACAATACAACTAATAAGTTCAAAATTTGTGTCATGATGTACATGATCTGAAGGAAACTGTGTTTTGAATACATACCTGAAATAATAGGTAGTGGATGTCAGATCTGATCTATGTCACCGATTTATTCAATTGGTCAACATAGTGGGAACAGAAATCAGATGCCAACATTGGACAGAATATAACCAGTTCTGATGGGCTGACATTAAAATAGAGTATTCTGTATAGTGGTTTGACAGTGATATGTGTGTAGGATGTGATCATATGTATCACGCACACGCACACATGCATATTTTTAACAAGTTTGACCATGTTGTATTGTAGGATGTGATGGTGGCCGGCGGTATGGAGAGTATGTCCCATGTTCCGTTCTACATGAAGCGAGGACAGACGCCTTATGGTGGCATCAAGATGATAGTGAGTGATCTTACATGAACAGAGTATAATTCATCCTGAATTTGATATTTGTAACATTAAACACAACAATCAGTGAAGAGTTTGCAAAGATCATGTATGTATTTGGCCCTGATGATCTGAGCCATGAGAACTATTAACCATACCTTTTGAAGTTTAACATTGTTGCGAGGACTTTGGTTAATTGATATCCTGTTTCATTTTAAGATAAAAGTTTATCACATTGTATACCAACTCGGGGGATTCAGGTTAAGAATGTAGGTCCCCAGCAGTTGTGCTCAAAGGAGACATGTAAATGGCCAGGCTTAATGAATTGGTTGATTCCATGTCGTTGTATCCCAGCTGGATCAGTGCTCATGATGTCAATCACTGGATTGTTTGTTGTTTGTTGCCGTTTTCAGCAATATTGCCGCGAAATGATGGCGGTGTGTAAATGATCAGATCTTGACCACACAGTCCTGTGATCAACAGTATGAACATCGATCTACGCATTTGGCCACCTGATCCCGTTTGTCACATCTCTAGACAAGCTTGGGTTGCTTAAGACCAGTGTATGAAATAAGGCCGTCTGACCCCCTGAGATGGGCTAGATTTCTGACGGACAGGCTAAATTTACAGCTAACCAGCCCGATGGTCTGGTAAAAAATTCATAAATTTGAGTAAATTCACCATATCTTGGTGTTTGGTCTGGTAAAATCCATTTTGGACTGGTAACAATTTGAAGTTACTGCCCTGATGTCTGGCTGGGTTTTTGGCTTATTTCTTGCACTGTTAAGACCAATTCTAATCCCGAACTTCACAGGTCACAGGCATGATGTAACTTGTATTAGACGTTATAAGAATGCAGAGCACTCAGGACATTGCATTATCTTTCCAGGACGGCATCGTGTTTGATGGCTTGACAGATGCATACGATCACATTCACATGGTAAGGAGATCTCAACAAAGAGTTGTTTTGTACAAAATTTAATTCTGTTAAATAGATCCAGAATCCAGGTTACTTCCTGTAATTTCACTTTCTGTCGCATGAGGATTGGTTGGTTACAATGGCTGGCAGTGCCATGTTGTTGTATGGTGTTCCATTGCAGTAATTCTAGGGTGGTTGGGTAACTTTGTGGTTACAGCAATTGTGATGTAGCTGTTTGATATATGCAGCATAAAACAACATGCAGTCACACATTCACAGACTTCTTCCTAACTACTTGGTTCACTGTTTTTAGTTTGTTTTTTGAGCAGTGATTACAGACTGGGATATGTCAAACTGTTTCATTAAGAACGATCTCTCCTGACAAATTTTATGTAGTGTGAGCTAATTATGACCATCTGTGTATATCTAATATGTAATGACTGAGAAGATTACAGTTCACTCTGATCTACCCTGCAGAATAGTTCACAACTTTTGGTGTTTTTGTGTATGTGACTCCTACCATTGTGTAGTTTGCATTTATTTGCATAGGAATGGTCCAGGGAACTATCATGCATATTCGTTATTCAAGCAAATTGGATGCAGTTGTTACTGATTTTACTGTTAAGAATTCTGTCATCTTCATAAACTAGTCTCATCCTAATTATGCATTGTTCATAGTGAGTGAGTGAGTTGGGTTTTACGCTGCTTTTAGCAATATTCCAGCAATATCACGGTTGGGGACACCAGAAATGGGTTTCACACATTGTACCCATGTGGGGAATTGAACCTGGGTCTTCAATGTGATGAGCAAATGCTTTAACCACTAGGCTACCCCACCGCTCATTGTTCATAGTGGACAGGGATTTACTTTGATCAGTTTGAAGATCCAAAGGACATCGTCATCTTTCTTGACAGGGTGTGTGTGCCGAGAACACGGCCCGGAAGTACAGCATCAGTCGTGAGGCCCAGGATGAGTATGCTGTCAACAGCTACAAGCTGAGTCAGCAGGCAGCACAAGCAGGGCTCTTCCAGAAGGAGATCGTGCCGGTGGAGATTCCAAAGAAGAGAGGTGAGAGCATCCAGGAATGTACCATGTTACTCTGCTTGTTATGGACCATGTTACCGGAGAGTGCAGACACACCCCTTTCCTTGGTATTTGTGTAGGAGCATTGCACATCATGGCCACAATAACTCAGTGCGCCTAGCGTGGCTGCAAGAGTTGTATACTCCCCAGGGAGTTGAGATTGATAATAGGATGTGCCGTTGAGATTGACATCCAATGATCGAGGGAAAAATACATAGCCTTGAGCATGCACTAGTTGCCTGGATATGTGCGCTATATAAATATCCTATAATAATAAATAACATAAAAAATGGTCACAGTGTTTTCAAATTAGTTCAGAAAATACTTGTATTTTGAAAAATGAGAGATGAAAAGAGCATTGAAATGTAATGGACTTGAATTCTAATGAAAAATAAAGTTTTCATGACAGTAAAAATAATGCTGACAATATAAAGGCAGTTGTTTGTTGAAAGTGCCATGTCTAAGCTTATGTGACCAATGCTTAAACTTCTTGTTATGTTGGCCTGAAATTAGTCACATGACCAGTTAAATATGCGATAGAGATTTTTTTCTGTAAACATATTTGCAATTGGCATTTTATTTTCATCAATGTTTGAAGGGTTTCAAAGTGTATTTGCATTCATGTTGTGACAGCACTGGCAATACAGTTAAAGGGAGCAGTTGTCCTGCATAGAGTAGCAAGGTGTAGCTTGGAGGGGAGTTTGATGTGTTACTGGAGTTTGATGAAGGGATGTGAGGGGAGTTTGATGCTGAAGTAAGAGGGGAGTTTGATCAAAGGGTATGAGGGGAGTTTGATGCTGAAGTGTGAGGGGAGTTTGATCAATGGATGTGAGTGGTGTTTGATGCTGAAGTAAGAGGGGAGTTTGATCAAGAGATGTGAGTGGTGTTTGATGCTGAAGTGTGAGGGGAGTTTGATCAAGAGATGTGAGTGGTGTTTGATGCTGAAGTGAGAGGGGAGTTTGATCAAGGGATGTGAGTGGAGTTTGATGCTGAAGTGTGAGGGGAGTTTGATCAAGGGATGCGAGGGGAGTTTGATCCTGGTGCATGAGGGGAGTTTAATACTGAAGTGGAGAGGACTTTGATCCCTTAATGGGAATGGTTTGCTCCAAGCGCAGGAAGGGACTTTGATCCTGATGTATCTGTGTTCCAGGCGATCCAGTGACAGTGTCGGAGGATGAGGAGTACAAGAAGGTCAACTTCGACAAGTTCAAGTCTCTCAGGCCTGTCTTCCAGAAGGAAAATGGTAACAAAGTAGTGTCACTGAATATTTGCTCTCCAGATTTGTACAAGACAAGGTTTTATGTTGAAATCACATACCCTTTTAACTGAAACAGGTTTTGGACAGATGTCCATGCTATTTATCTATGGATTGGTTCAGGGATGGTCAAAGAGTCGTGAGAAGTGTTTCTTGTCTTGCAGGAGTGTTTACAACAATACTTACACACAAATAGAGAAAGTATTCAGGTTTAAGTATGTACTTGACTCAAATTAATCTGCATACTCCATGTCAGTAGTATTTACTGTTTACTTGGGGCAGGGGGTAGTTTAGTGGTTACAAGCGTTCGCTCGTCACGCCAAAGACCCTGGTTCGATTCCCCACATGGGTACAATGTGTGAAGCCAATTTCTGTTGGCCCCGTCATGATATTGCTGGAATATTGCTAAAAGTGGGGTAAAACTAAACTCATTTACTCAGTAACTACTGGTTACTTAGCTTGTCTGTTGCTCAGATTTGAATCCTTACTTATAGGATGACAAATGAAGCGTCTGTTTCTGTCATGAAGGACACACCTGACCTAAAGCTCACATAGTAAGCTATTATAATGGATTCCAGTGGAGATTCTAGGTTAGAAAAGGTCCCCAGCTAGAGGCAACAACTACATGGATTGGATTGACCAGGTTCAGAGACTTGGTTGATCGCATGTTACTCTACCCTGATGGCGAGAGATGTTCACATTATCAACCACCCTTTGCCTGGTCCAGACTAAATTGTTTACAGGTGAATGAACTATTGAAATTTTGTTGAGTCCTCAACAACAAACCATCAAGTAAAATATGACTCTGAATCAGGCACCGTGACAGCAGCCAACGCCAGTACGCTGAATGATGGCGCTGCAGCTCTGGTACTGATGACAGCACAGGCTGCTGATAGACTCAAAGTGAAGCCACTGGCAAGGATTCTGGGTAAGTACTTCTGACATTTCTAGCAGAGGATCCCAGGGAAGATCAAATTCACAATACCAAATGACATTGCCCATTCCTTGTGTGGCATTTCAAACACATGTTTGAGAACCTATCTGTCACGAAGAATTTGTATCATTGTGTGAATAAAATGATTATGAGTATTGTGTCAAAACCCTCTAAGAAAAACATTTAACCTCTGATGTTGACCATCCACAATGATACCTGATGAGGATAGTATGAAGTACAATGAAAACAATATGCTATTTGCAGGTTTTGCTGATGCAGCCATTGCACCCATTGACTTCCCTACTGCACCAGCCAAAGCTGTGCCAAAGGTAGGTGACTTGCTGATGCTTTATATAGAAATCTTTGTGATCGCTGGTATGAAAAGTGATTGTCCTTGTTGGGATTCCAGGGTAGACCAGTGCCCTGAGTACTTGTCCAACATCTTGTTGGGATTCAAGGGCAGACTAGGGCCCAAGTGCTTGTCCAACATCTTGTTGGGATTTCAGGGATTTGGGATTTCAGGATGACTACTGCCAATCTTGTTGGGATTTAAGGGATGACTACTGCCCAGGTGCTTGTCCAACATCTTGTTGGGATTTAAGGCTTGTCCATCATCTTGTTGGTATGACTATCATCTTGTTGGGATTTCAGGGATGACTACTGTCCAGGTGCTTGTCCAACATCTTGTTTTCAGGGATTAGGGCCCAAGGGTAGACTAGGGCCCAAGTGCTTGTCCAATCTTGTTGGGATTTAAGGGATGACTAGGGCCCAGGTGCTTGTCCATCATCTTGTTGGTAGTTCAGGGATGACTACGGCCTAGGTGCTTGTCCATCATCTTGTTGGGATTTAAGGGATGACTAGGGCCCAGGTGCTTGTCCAACATCTTGTTGGTAGTTCAGGGATGACTACGGCCTAGGTGCTTGTCCATCATCTTGTTGGGATTTAAGGGATTTGTCACACATCCCTGAATGGGCCCCCTTTCATTGTGTCTCCCTTTGCTGTGTGTCACTATCATTGTGTGACTCTGTATGATTGTGTACTCCTCTCTGTGAAGGTCCTGGAGATGACGGGGGTCAACAAAGACGACATTGCTATGTGGGAGGTGAATGAAGCCTTCAGCGTCGTGGTCCTCGCCAACATCAAGGAGTCTGGCCTTGACCCCAGCAAGGTCAACATTCACGGAGGAGCAGTCAGTATCGGCCATCCTATTGGGTAAGTACAGGAAGATTTCAATATTATTGAAAGTTGTGTAATTGTGTCTTGAAGTAAATGGGGTGTTACTCCAAGTTGTATTAGGGCGGTGGGTTAGCCTTCACTCGTCACTCAGAAGACTGGGTTCAATTCCCCACATAGGTACGTGTGAAGCCCATTTCTGGTGGTAGTTTGTCTCCTTAACCTTGAAAAGATTCATCCTTTCAAAAAGTATTTGATTTGATTCCATTTATGTATTTCAGTATGTCTGTTTATGTATTGCAGTATGTCTGGTGCTCGTATCACTGGACACATGGCACACAACCTGAAACCTGGACAGAAGGGCATGGCCAGTATCTGTAATGGTGGCGGGGGAGCGTCGGCCATCTTGATTGAGGGACTCTGAAGAAGGCCAACATGGCAACTTACACCATATCAGCAATGGTGGCCTGAACAAGATGAAAGGGTTGTGTGAACTGTATCTGAGGTGAATGGATTTGAATGCATTTAGGAATGCATTTGAGATTTACTGATTTTGTCTCTTCTAAGAAATTTTTCTTAACACAGTATCAGTACTATAAATGTAATCACAGTAATTGGTTTTATATTTTTGAAAATCCTTCCTTTTCTGTACATTTTAGAATGAAAATCACAGAATTGCAAATTGCTGTCTCATTATGACATTTGAGCTTCATTTATTGTCAGCATTAACAAATTGTCAAGGGTTGTATGCTTGCCACATATACTATTAGTAGTATGTGATGATAATCAAATGATGTGCATAAGGATTCTCAGCTTGTACCATTTTCCTGTGTACCTCTCCATGTTCCAAGTGGCCTCGCTGAAAAGAGGTTGTTGCTATTATTGTGTTTGTGTCAAACTTGCACGACTATTATTCTAGGTTTGTTCTGATTGTTCTACCATGTTGTGCCACGGAGTAAGATCATCTTAGTGCAAGCAGTTAACAGGCTCAAATTTTGAAAAACATAGAAGTAATTAAATGAATGAATTGATATGTGGTTAGACATATTTTGTATCATCGTCAGATGTAAATTCTTGATGCATCAGTGAACTGTGACAGTACTACAGGATGTGCCGTTATACGACTAGTGACGTTAAACGACTAGTGACTAGAGGATGATACTCTTCCCTGATGGGGCCAGTGAGGTAGCTTAGTGGTTAAAGTGTTTGCTTGTTGTGTCGAAGACCCGGGTTCGATTCCCCACATGGGTACAATGTGTGAAGCCCATTTCTGGTGTCCCCCACCGTGATATTGCTGAAATATTGCTAAAAGCGGCGTAAAACTAAACACAGTCACTTCCCTGATGAAGTCGTGCAGTCTCATGATGTACAACAGGGCACACAACTGGGAACAGTACTCACAAAGTTTGAAGGAGAACAGCATGAATACCTCTCAACATTTCAGGGCCATTTTGTATGAACATTGACAGAACATATGGAAATTAATGAGATTTCAATTCATTAGTGATTTGCAATGGTTTCGTTTGTTCTTCCAACACAGGATATATATTACAGATATTGTATGAGCTCAAATCATAGATACAAAGATTGTTTCATGGACCAGAGACTCAGAGTGTATTGCGACATCTGTGTACTGATGATAGCCAAGTGTGTGTGTGTGTTGAGTGTTCTGTGTATGACCAGTGTCATCAAGTGCTAGATGTAAATATTGTACAAAACAGGAATCTCACAATCAGTATTTAAAAGTGCTAAAATTCTTCTTCTCTCTTTTCAGAAACTGAACAGTAATTTGTAATGTGTCCAGCAAATTATGTCAGTTTCTGTGAATAAAGACTTTGAGAAGTTCTCCATCTTGTTTTTTTCTTGCCCACAAATGTCTCATTCTTCGTGAATGAATGATTCATATTAAATTCTCATCTGGTCGGATCTGATTGGTTTTGAATAATCTTTCAAGGTGTTTTGCATGAAAACAGATCGTGTCAGTCTATTGGAGCCTCAAGTAATTGAACTTGGATTTCAGTAGTTACTTCTGTACTATACTTAACAACATTAGAAACGCACCACACTAAAATGCACCGACGATGCTCAGATATCATGGGTACATTTCAGTCTGACGGGGATATTTCATATTATGGGTGGTGCCTTTATGCTGTTCGGTATATTTTCATAAAAGCCCGGACTAATTTGATTTCAGAGACTTGTGTTTCAAATGTGAGTATTGACATGGATTTGATGAGTCTCTGAAACAGTGTCCAAATATACATACCATTAAAAAAAAAGTAGGGTATATATTCGATTGTGCAAGCATACCACTAGCCAATGCATATGAGAAAAGTAATATATATATATACAGATGAAACATTTCCAAAGGAATGGAATAAATTGTCACATTTTCCCTTAATTTCTCTTCATCATCTGTTTCCTCCTTGGCTTCATCATTTGCAGTTTATCAATCTTGTAAATCCATTATCCCCTACTGGTTTTGAATGGTATACATATGCAACAGAGTATTCACATAAGTTTGATTGGGCCTTAATTTATGTAATATATGTAATGTATGTATTATGATAATTCTAGAAGGTTCACCATTGTGAAGATTCTTGACTTTCTTTGTGAAACAGATTAAAGGCACCACTATGAAAGATAACATGTCCTCTTACTACTTTAATGACCCATTTTACAACCCTACCCAGGGATCTGCTGTTGGATGCCAGTTGAGAACTGCTTTACTGGAACCTGGCAGAAACCACTGAGATGCACATATACAATGATCTGGATGCATACACCTTTTCTTTACTCAAATATAAAAGTCACATAGTATTCGCATATTGTTAGTGTGGTAACATTTACAAGTTTTTTCATTATTGTCAACCCCTGATGTGACTCAACCCTAAAAGAACAAGAATTTGTACTTAACCACGAAAGTGTAATCCCAAACATAACAGGTTACATTTCACCTCTTTCTAAATGCTACCGGGGCGGTGGGGTAGCCTAGTGGTTAAAGCGTTGGCTCGTCACGCCGAAGACCCGGGTTCAATTCCCCACATGGGCACAATGTGTGAAGCCCATTTCTGGTGCCCTGCCGTGATATCGCTGGAATATTGCTAAAAGCGGCGTAAAACTAAACTCAGTCAGTCAGTCAGTCAGTCTAAATGCTACCACATATTCATTGCTTTCAACCATGGAAGTCATGCCAATTTAGACTTCTCAGAGGGGTACACAAAGTGTGTTGTTTAAACTATAAGTTGTCAGACTAGTGGGATTAAACCCCCCAAAGCACCACAATTTGTACTTCTTATAATTAACATTGTGTAATCCATTACATAACATGTTACAAAAAATCTTAATAGGTAAAGCATAGTGTCAAGGAAAAAAGAAAACCAATATCCAATTGAAAATATTGTTTAATGTACAAAATGTCTTTCAGTATGTACACCATATGAACATGAGTTGTGAGGACTTCTTTGAAGCTTGTGATACACACTATGTATGATACAAACTGTACATGATAATGACATGCCATTTGGGAAGGGAGGTAACTGCTGTTGGGCTGTAACAGTACATGACACTATGACATGCGTAGGACCTGTATTCTGTCAGGGAACAAAGAAGACATTATAAACTTGAGTCAGTTAAACAACAGACTGAAATTACTATACATATGGTAAGAAAACACTGTTTTGACATTCATTTTTTTATCGCATAACATGACATATCTGTATTAATGTTTTGTTTTTCATCATTGAAAGTTGTGAAACATCCATGTTACAAAAACTGTATCACACCAATATATTAACATAACTATCAGTAAGCCACAATCTTGCCTGACAGCAAACATGAGTTTATAATACAAGTAGCACTAAATTGTAATGGCTGCAACACTTCCTGCCATCCTACATTCAAATACATTTGTAAATCAAACAGTCTGACTTTTCATACAAGTGTCTCATTTGTTAATTTTATCTCAACTCTGACCATGGGAAGAATGACTAATAAAAACAAACAATTCCTCAACAATAAGAAAACATGAAAGTTTTGACATCTTAGTTGTAACAATAATTCTGACTATGGAAGGAATGAAGACATCAACAGTGGTAAGATTTTCACCAATACAACATGTTCTTAAACATGGCTATACAAGGAAAGTAATGTCTTTCTTGACTTAAACAAGAAGCTGAGTATCTGAGCAACACCTCACTATGCCCTGAATTTCAAATTAAATAGTGTTAAGTTGTCCATGATGACTATTTTGTATCATTCTGAGAAATTCTCATCCACGAGGTTTTCCTGCCTGAAGTCATCATAAAGACAGTCAAAGGTTCGTGCAGATTTCCAGCAAAGATTAAATTATGAAAACAAGCAAAAGAATGGTGCAATATTTAAACACACTTTGGGATTGTTATAGTGTGAGATTGTTCCTATAGTAATATGTAAAATAAACCTTCAACAAAGCTGACTTTCAAAGTGTTGGACATTCAAGCACGTACTGAAGTAATGATTATCACTTACACAATACAGAATCTGACACCACACTTAGTCAAGTAAATCCTCCTTAACAATGAAAGCGAAACAGAAGGAAGACTACCAACAAAGGAGCGTTGAAAAAGTGCACAGTACATCATCCTGCCTTGTTTAGAAAGTCTTGTTAGTGTATAAACACAGATTACAAAAGCTACTGTTCAATAACACCATCAAACAATTATAGTCTTCAGTATTCAAGAATGGAAAATGATAATGTACGATGCATATTTGCCATTTGAAAGAAACATAATTACATGAATTGCTGCCTTGAACAAAAACTTGGAAAAACAAGCAATAGTAAAAATGATGATCCTCTGCCATCTTGACAAAACAATAATCAGCTGTCTCAAGATGAAATGAAGCACATCAATCAAGCTGAGGTGAGATCAATAGATTTTCTTAAAGTGTGTAACAGTGGACTCTGGCTAACCTTTGCCTTGTTCCACAAAGCGATCCTAGCCTTCGTAAGTCTATTTAAAGTATGGGAGTTCACACCATCAAAGCGATCGTTAAAGTATGGGAGTTACGATCATCTTGAGCATCGAAGTCGTAAGTCTATGTTAAAGTATGGGAGTTACGATCATCTTAGCGCTACGGTCGCTTTGTGGAACTGAACTATGGAGTGGAGTGGGGGTCTGGAGTTCTAAACTTTCAGCAGGCCTCCACAAACTACCAAATGAGTTGTTTAGTTCAAAATAAATATTACAGTTCAAGGTTTCTAGTACTATTCTTTCAAACTCAGTTTATATTTGTCTATCTGTCACACCATTAGCTGTGAGCAAACAACTTTAACAAATGAAATCGATATGCTTCTGTATACTGCCTTCCACACATGCATGTCCACAAGCAAATATTGATAAGGGATGATATACTTTTGAAATGTTTCTTATCAACTGTACATTTTGGCATTATCCTTTCATAAAAACTTTAATGAAAACTTAAACACAAAGTAACCTGTAGAACTAGCAAAACATGTCTAAAATGGAAGACGCCATGATTATCCAATTACACATATTCCACCTCACAGTGACACACATTAAATATCACTTAAATATGTAAATAATGTTGCTTTTACCTGATTGTTATCAACAATCCTTAAACAACAAACACTGCACTTTTACAACTTGCACAATGGCAAAAATTGACGCCAAGACGTTTTTAAATGTTGATCATGAAAGAATATCTGTATCTGTTCAAATGTATCGGTGTCCTTATGAAGTGGAGTGAAAACCCTGACGACAAGGCAATGCTTCAGTGATATATCTGTTCAGTGGAAATTGAGAAGATCAGGTTGTACATCATGACACAAAACTGATGGCCAGCGCTTGCTGGGGCCGTGGGTAACATCAGATAATAGCTAGAGTCCACTGTTGTAAACTTGTTCAGGCCAGACCAATGAAATTTCTTGTTTAATATTCTACTCAATAGAAGTTAAGAACACCCATATTTTTTTTATATCACTATATTTAATTTCTGATGGCTGGTGGGTTCTTCCACACGCAGCCTTACAATTATGATTGTTCAACTTGTTTTGAGGAGAATAGAATTTCTCAGCCAATGTGCAAAACCTCAAAAGGCTAAAACACAAAGGAAAAAAATGTTGATTTGAGCTTAATTATGTCAATTCCTTACGATTTAAAAAAAATATAAACACAAAGATTTTAGGAGTATTTCATTTTGTTCATTGTGTTCTACATAAGGAATGTCTGTCAAGTCGAACAAGTGAAGTAGATTAGCCTGGCCTAAATTCAAGAAAGAAACATGAGAAAATGTTCTGAGATATTTCAGCCAGCATGTTAAGTATGTCATGTCCAACATGTACAGTGATTCAGTTTAATGCTGACAGCGACTACCTCTGTACCAGTAGTAGTATAATCCTCACAAACCGTCTGGGATAAACATAGCACTAGGAACGTTGAGTGGAAGCAGCGGGGAAATCAGCTTGTGAATACTTTGATTGTCGATCTCATCGTGATATGAGAAAACAGTGTCTGGATCAGTAGAACCCAATACCACCTTTGAATAAACCTTCACACACTTCACAAGTTCGCTGGTGTAGATATGCGATGTAATGGTTATTACACAAGTTCGCTGGTGTAGACATTCGATGTAGTGGTACACAAGTTCGCTGGTGTAGACATGGGATGTAATGGTTATTACACAAGTTCAATGTACATGCTGCCAGTGACTGGAACGTCGTTACACATCACTTCCATTCACAGGGTCGTAGTTGATAGGAGCGTTGTTGTAGTTGTGAGCTCCTCCATACTGCTCACTGTTTCGCAGCTTCTCCTCGGCCTCCAACAGCTTCTTCTCATACCAGCCATTGACGTGAGACTGGATGTTGACTGGCTGCCGGGGAGTATGCTGTTCGTTGGCATTCGAAGAGTAGTTGAACGCTGGGGTACTTTCCTTGGACGGGGAAAATGGTGAACTTGTTGCAATGACTGGGGTAAAAGGGGAACTATTCTGATTGGAATTTATGAAAGGGGAATCACTCTGAGTCTGAGGCACAAATGGAGAATTGTTCTGACTGGGTGTTCCCGTTGAGAGGCTGCGATCCATGCTGAAAGATGAGGATGGGGTTCCACTGTTGCTAGGCAACCCATTGGGACTCTGTCCCAGGTAAGGCAGCTTTGCCTTGCTGCTGTAGCCAGAGTCTTGGTTGCTGCTGCAGGTTGAGTCCTCCTTGTTCTGGAGGTACGTCGGGTTATATACACTTGTCCTTGGATACGGACTCTCGTGACGTAAGCACTCCGATGTGGACAGATTGAAGCTATCCTGAGAGTTGTTGCTCGTGTTAGACACATTGTTACTGTGGTTACTCACATGGTTAACTGTGGTATTACTGTTATCACTGATTTTGCCGCCCCCAAATCGTCCCGACACAGGCGTCACACTGCCTGTTTGTGTGGGGGCATTGTTGTTTTGACTATTTACAGGGTAGTTGCTATAGTTACCACTTTGGTTATAGTTTGTAGTGGAATTAGTATTATTGTTACTAGCACTGTTTCCTTGGTTACCAGAAAGATTAGCACCTGAGTCGGCATAGCGATAACCGTATGGTGGCGGTTTGCTTGGCCGTGATTTAACGTCTGTATTTTCATTGTTTTTTGACAAGTTATTCTCTGATTTGCTCACAGAGTTTTGTATTGGCATACTTTCATAGTTGCCATAGCTACCTTTATCACCATGGATACCATACATACTCCTGTATGGTGGTCTGTCTTTGTTGATCTGAGAGATATCGGCATAATTACTGTCTCGTCCTGATTCCCGAACAGGATCTCTCCGATATGAACTATCATAAGCCTGAAATCCGGGTTTCGGGGAAGGGGCTGTTGCATAGGACTGGTACCCAACTTTAGGTGATGGAGCACCTGTATAGGCTTGGAAGCCTGGTTTTGGGGATGGGGAAGCAGCATTTGTGGGAAACCCTGGTTTAGGAGAAGGTGCAGTAGTTCTCACACTGTTGGCAACTTTCTGCATCTCTCGAACACTTGCATAGGGATTCTCTCGGTATCCCGCAATACTGTTCCGAGTGGGCGCCTGACTGGCACTTGACGAAGGGTTGTTGGTTGGAGGAACCCTGTATGCTACGCCGTGTCTATTTGGGGGCACACCTTGCTGTCCGCCAGCCGATCTGGGAGCTGGATGTGTCCCAACACCACTCTTGTCACCACCTCCTCCACTATTCCTGTCAACATCATCTAAAGGTCTGTCTAGACTCCTGCTGCGTCCAACATGCTGGGAGAATGTCTCCTTGTCGTCTCCCAGAATAGTGTCAGTGGATCGTGTCCGTGGCTTGTACTTCGGCATGGGGGCATCTTCCAGGTACATGTAAGTCTGATTGTTCCTCTGGTTGTACCCCCCTCCAGGTGTGGAAGCCATACTGTTGATGCCACCATTAGTCTGATTGAAGCCATGATTATTCTGGTTAATACGACTATTGTTCTGGTTGAAGCCACTATTGTTCTGGTTGAGGCCACTATTGTTCTGGTTGAAGCCACTATTGTTCTGGGTAAAGCCACTATTGTGTTTGAAGCCACCACTGTTCTGCCTAGTAAACATGGAAGGGTTTGGCGTCTGCCCAGTGCTAGGTTTAGGAGGCTTTGGGGGAACCTCCGGTGCACCGGGCATGTTTCTTGTGTTTGGAGGTCCCCTTTCGGATAAATTTTGTTTTGGCATTGATATATGATTACTGAGAGTACCAGAGTCTGTATGACTGCGAAGTATTGGCCGAACATTAGAACGAACATCCAATGGGCTTCCTTCTCTAGACCGAGAAGCACCATGTACTTGTGGACTTCCCTCACGTGACCTGCTCAGATCTTGTTTTGACTGAGAAACAGCATGCTGCCAAGAATGAGAATGAGGCAACCGTTTTGGGATAGCTCCCTGATTTCCTGTCTCTCTCTTAATAGCACTGACATCAATAGGAGAGTTTGCACTTGGAGAGATCATATTCTGATAGTGTCCTGCCATTTGGCGATTAGGACTGCCCTCATATTTTGGTGAGGCGCCGTCTGCTATTCTGTCCATCTTTCCATGAATCTCAGCCTTGGTAACAGTCACATTGTTGTTGATAGTGTTGTTATTTCTCTCTCGCCGCCTCACACTCTGGCGGTAGGACGGTACCTGCCATGCTCGCATCAGCTGCATGGCTTCATGTCGGGATTCGTAAAAATCTTTCTTCCGATATTTCCCACTGTAATCGGAAACTGAAAGCGTTTCATCTGACCGAGATCTAAACAAACGTCCGTTTTCATTTTCATGAAAGTCTGTGAACATTGTCCTAGGAGGTAACGCCGAATCATCATGGTGATGACTTAAACAATGTCCATATGATGCAAGCTTCGAATCAAGCCAGGTCTGAATTTGTTCATTATATTGGCTGAACATTTGCTGTGTGCCTTTCCGTTCATGATGCAGATGTTCCTTGATTCGACTGTGGCACATCTTGTGTTCATTCTCCAGCCTCTCCTTGGTGAGTTTGTCGATAGCGAACACCTGCTGTGCTGTACGTCTATCCAGGTGGTCTATCTGTCCTTTGAGAAGCTGATGAGAGGCATTAGTGTGGTCCACCATGTTCTCTCGGTTTGTCTCGATCTTCTGCTCCAGACGCTTCAAGGTGGGTCCGCACTGACAAAGTGGAGTGTAGCCCACTGGGCCCTGCAACAACCAAATGATAGAGAGAGTGAGATATATTTACATCAGGTTAATGAGAAGAAAAGGGAAAGTTTGGCTTTGTGAAGAAGATTAATTAACACCACTGTCATTGCTAGGTATCACAACTTTTGCTAGCTACAGGGCATTTTAAGGGCAATTAGGAGCTTTCCAAGGCTAAAAAAGGTCAAATGTGGGACTGACCATGAGAGGGAGGTAACTCTTAGTGGGAAAGTTTTGCTTCACGATGGAGATTAATTAACACTCAATGTCATTGCAAGGTATTTTTATCATGTTTCCAATTCTGCTAAATATAGGGCCTTTTTAGGGCAAATCACTGGTAATTAGGACCTTCCCAGGGCTAAAACAAATTTAGGTTGCAGCTGGTGAGTGGACTGACCTGTTTGATGTTCCCGGCCAGATCCCTGTAGTACTGGACCCCGGTCTGTGGCACATACTGACTGAAGAACCCCTGCACAGCTGACGGCTTACTCCAGGGCTGGGCAGGTCCGGAGTTGTCTCCCCTGGGTGAGGGAGTCTGACCATTACCTTTCACTGTGGGTGGTGGGGTCTTGTCTTTGTCCTGGAGGGTAAGAAGTTATATTCATACATGGCCGTAAGATTGTTTCAGAATTGTGGATAAAACAAAAATCACTCATAAATAAAAGTTTTTTTAGTTATATCTTACACAGAATCAAGTAATTCTGTTCTACTAACAACTTGTTCAGCTGCTATCCCATGTCTATATTATGTACCAATTTCAACAAACCAATATCTGATGATTAAATACATGAGTTAAAGAGAACAATTTTGTTTCAAACACTCCGAAACTACTAATCTTTAGTTAATCTGTCAGCCTTTTAATTACTAACCTTTTTCTTTTTCTTAAAGAAGAAGAATTTGCGGTCCTTCTCTGGCTTTTCTGATTTGACTGGTTGGTCATCGTCAGGGACGACCACCGGCCCTTCCATGTCCACCTGGATCTCATCCTTGAAGGTCACCACGTTAGGGTGGGTTCGGGTCATAGGTCGAGGGGATTTGGGAGACTTGGGGGTCTTCGGCTGGCAGAGGTCAAACAAGATCAAACACTTACATACAAGTTGAATGGAACGAATACTCCATACAGAATCTTATACTTAGACTGTATTCTTTTTACTGAGGTCTGAGTTCATGGAAAGGTTGGTTAAATATTTCACATTTCTCTGCTGAGAGAACATGATATTAATGGTTACCAAGAGTTATTCCCCTTTCACCACTGATGTTCAAGGAACAGCTTTAGTAATTACTCCATTAGAAACAGTCTGCTGCATCCACAAATGAGTTTTCTTCCCAGAATGTATATAAATAACAGTTGGTGTTTACCCGAGCGAAGGACTGTATGATGATAATTATCTCTGGGTGTTCCTTCCTACGAGCCACATCCATTGCTGTCTCGTTTTGCTGCAAAATTAACATACTTCATAGTAAAAACATTTGTAATGGGCTCACATATTACTAAAAATAACTTTAATAACATCATTCAACAACTTTAAAGGAAAAAATAATAAACATATCACCATTTGAAGTTTTACATAATTTAAAAGATGACAAAAATAAATGCTTACAGTTTTTAAAGATGCAAATACAATCCATATTCAAAATTCATAATGTCTTTATCATCATTAGCAGCGGTCAAAGTAGCATAGGATTATAAATAATAATTTTGCTGATGTTAAGACCGATCTCACATACTGGTGGAAATCCTAACTCTGAGTGAATTCCCTCGGTTATAATAGGGCCAAGACAATGTAGGTAAATAGTCTGTTTATAGCAAACCTTATTTTTGATCTGAACATCAATGCCAGATTCCACAAGGAGTTTGCCAATCTTCCTTCTCTTGAGTGCTGAAGCAATGTGGAGGCACGTGTCCCCATTCTGTACACAAGAATACAAATAAGGTCACTGTTTAAAAACTCCAATCACTCAAAATAATAATCTGACTGATATGTTTTCAAAGAAATGCAACCATTCACATAAAACCATCCCCTCATTCATCCACCCGTATCTAGCTACCATCCCCCTCACTCAAATATCCACACTCCAAACCATCAAATACTAACTCACTCATCCATCCACTTCCTCACTCAATTATTCATACCAAACCATCCCCTTTCTCACTCAACTATCTATCCACTTATTAACTCCATATCAAACAATTCCCTTTGACTCACCCATTTCCTAACATAACCATCCATATACCAAACCATTTCCTCACTACTTCACCAATTCAGTCACTCATACATGCACCCAACCATCCCTTAACTCACTCATTCATCCACCCAATCATCCCTTGACTCACTCATTCACTCACCCAACCATCCCTTGACTCACTCATTCACTCACCCAACCATCCCTTGACTCACTCATTCACTCACCCAACCATCCCTTCACTCACTCATTCACTCACCCAACCATCCCTTGACTCACTCACTCCAACCATCCCTTGACTCACTCATTCACTCACCCAACCATCCCTTCACTCACTCATTCACTCACCCAACCATCCCTTCACTCACTCATTCACCCACTCAACCATCCCTTGACTCACTCATTCCAACCATCCCTTGACTCACTCATTCACTCACCCAACCATCCCTTCACTCACTCATTCACTCACCCAACCATCCCTCGACTCACTCATTCACCCACCCAACCATCCCTTCACTCACTCATTCACTCACCCAACCATCCCTTGACTCACTCATTCACTCACCAACCATCCATCCCTTCACTCACTCATTCACTCACCCAACCATCCCTTGACTCACTCACTCATCACCCAACCATCTCCATCACCAACACTCACCCAACCATCCCTTCACTCACTCATTCACCCAACCATCCCTTCACTCACTCATTCATTCACCCAACCATCCCTTGACTCACTCATTCACTCACCCAACCATCCCTTGACTCACTCCCTTCACTCACTCATTCACTCCACCCAACCATCCCTTGACTCACTTGACTCACTCATTCCAACCATCCCTTGACTCACTCATCCACTCACCCAACCATCCCTTGACACTCATTCACTCACCCAACCATCCCTTGACTCACTCATTCACTCACCCAACCATCCCTTGACTCACTCATTCACTCACCCATTCACTACCAAACCATCCCTTGACTCACTCATTCACTCACCCAACCATCCCTTCACTCACTCATTCACTCACCCAACCATCCCTTGACTCACTCATTCACTCACCCAACCATCCCTTCACTCACCCATTCCATCCCTTCACTCACCCATCCCTTCCTCACTCATTCACTCACTCACTCACTCACCAAACCATTCCTTCGCTCACCCAACCACCCCTTCACTCACCCCCTCCCACTCACACACACCCCAACACACACACTCACCCACCCACTCACTCACTCATACACTCCTCTGGGGAGACCAGCCTGTTACAGTGAAACCAGACCCTGGATCAATGCTACAAGATGACAGGGAGGGGTCACCGAGTGGGCCTAGCTAGGGTGTTGACTGAGACAGGGAACAGACAGGCTCCACACTGTTTATAACGCCTGTCTGTGTAACTAGCAATAGAAAACTGATTTGTTTATTTATCCCTTTTCACATGAAAATATAATTATAATTTGTCTTTCTTGTGACATAAACCATATGTCTCTTCAAGTACTCTCAAAGAAGAAAATATCATTGAATTCTTCAGATGTGGACTGTATTTGTTTTGACTCATTAATTATCAAGTTTTGCACTGAATGCATATTTTATGAAAAATCTATGCACCTTATTCCCATTAATGTTCCACGTTTCAGGTTAATGGAAAACTACAATTTCTGTATAAGAGCTTGTAGTATGACTGTTGTATTTATTTCCCCTAAACTCATCAAGGTTGTGCAAACACCTGACATCACCTGCTTATATTACTGAGTGAGTGAGTGAGTGAGTGAGTGAGTGAGTGAGTGAGTGAGTGAGTTTGAACAGTATTGTAGTTATGTCATGGTATGTCAAATTTTATATGGGGGAATAACAGTAAATACTGCAGGTCCCAGATGTTTACAACTTTGGAGTGAGTGAGTGAGTGAGTGAGTTTGGTTTTACGCCGCTTTTAGCAATATTCCAGCAACATCACGGCGGGGGACACCAGAAATGGGCTTCACACAATGTACCCATGTGGGGATTCGAACCCGGTCCTTCAGTGTGACGAGCGGATGCTTTTAACCACTAGGCTACCCCACCGCCTCTTACAACTTTGGAGGGTGGGTATGCTGACAAACATAAATGGGTTGGAACATGTTGAAGTATGAACGTTAGGACTATCTTAGTGCTAAGATTACATGGAGGAACAGACAGAGTGTTTCACGGCATGAGCTTCTGGGGTACAATCACACACACTCAGCCAGCCCACAGATGGTACCCACTAGTCTGCATCACCTCCAATGACAAGCATCAGTTCTGAGATCCATTCCGACCTGATCTCCCTACAGGGATACCAGGATACAGAGCTTAGAAGGGTAATATGTTTAACAAACATGTACCTGGATACATGAAAGGTGGACTGAACATGTTCTATACTGCAGACGTGTTATTGAGGAGCTCCACAACTGCAGAGGTCAGTCCACAGAGAATCGTCAGAAATATCTCAGACAGGCAGCTGACTACCATAATTCCACTGCCTATTACTGCACACTAGGACAGCCCTTGGAATGGATGCTGATACTGCCGGGAACACAACCGCTCATAATAACAGGTTCAGGGGAACACCTGTATTTATTTTGGCTTGGCAACTACGATTTTTTCCTTTACAATGTGTATATATGTGTGTAATCTATTCACGCCTTACAAATAAAGCTGTAAATTATAATCTTGTTTTAATAAATAGGTTTTTAAAACGAATGTTTGATAAGGTGTAGCAAGCTTTGGAGCAGTAATGAAGGTTATACATGGGCACCAGGCACATCAAATAGACAGAAACATTTGTGCGAAAAAAAGAACTGAATTCAGAAATAGATTTCTTTCAAGCGATATAAAATCATATTTGCAGACGCATCCAGTGGAAGCAAATGATAACGCTATGTAACCGAGACTCTTGAAAACTAATTACCTAACTACACACTCTGGCTGCATTAAGTTATCTGTTTGGCTAAATTTTTATACGCATCCGTTTTAATCCTGCCCTACCAAGATGCATCATATGCAATGTCATAAATTGTGTAAGATTTTTTTACTCCAATCCCCCTATGAAGAAACTGAAGCCTACATCAAACGTCTGACTGTGAGGGAGAAGTCATTGCAGCAAAAATAAAAATGGGAGTACAAAGTGTTGCTTTATTCATGGATGCAACTACATTTGACCTTTGACACATGAGGCTGTCTGTGGTGTATGCATTTCAGAAACGTATTAACATGACTCGAGTTAAATAAGTTCATTCATTTATGTAATTTAGAAATCCTTTTTTCAGTCAGAGGTGAGTCACCCATATAATTATTTTCATGATTAAATAATTAAAGTTTTCAGGGCAAAGAATTAATTCCATGTTTTGAAGCAATTATGAACACAGTGAAGCAAGAGAGTTAATTATTTTAGTTAGATGAAAGTTAAATTTTGTGCATTATGATCCTCCCAAAGCTGCTAAATATCCTGGACAAAATGAACTGGACTAAGTATTTTCTTTAAGGACATGTTAATATTCCAGACAAAGGAGGAAGTTATAAAGGAGGAAGGTATGCATTTTGTTAGTGTGGGAAGTTTAACAGCAATAAGTTTTTAACACTGAAACCATTAAATTTTCAACAGAAAAACTTTGGTCATCCAAACTATGCATATTTTCATCTTAAAAATATAATCAATACTACTATTCCTGGTTTCAGTGTGTAGCTGGGAAGACTGTTGTCAATTAAGATGGCCAATACATCCGGAGTTCAAATCAATAATGTCCTAAAATAATGAACAACCAGTTGGTAGCATTGTAAGAGCACATTTTTGTACAAAATACAGTGTTTGATTAAATGTTTGAAATGTTCTCACTTAAACAATTCACAGAATGAAATTGACAGGCACCCACCATGAAGATCTGAGTGAGTGAGTGAGTGAGTGAGTGAGGTATCAGCAAAGTAGCCTATTTTCAGAAAATTCTGATCTAGTATATTCTTGTTACAGGTTAATCCTTACACTACCTACATGAAAACAGATAAGCCATGTATGTTTGTTGTAACAAAATCTATAACAAGATCAAAATATACTTTTACCTATTTTGATCTGCTCTAAAATTGTCAGTATAAATAATTAATAAAATTGACAAAATACTAAACTAATACTCTTGTAAATGTTAAACTGAGTTGGTGAGCACAACAAACACTTGATTGTTTATTATTGGAACAATGGTGAGTGCTGTTTTCATAACTCTCCAGGTGTTGTATCATTGATCTACCTGTGTGAGCTTTTCCGTTTTGTTCACTAAGATATTATGATCCTCACCTTGTTCTGTTCGTTGATTTTACACCTGGCACTGAGCAGTATTCGTGTGACACCTGCATGGCCGTATCTGGCAGCTGTGTGCAAAGCTGTATCCCCGTACTGCAACACAACAACATAACATCTCACTGAGCTGATTGTTTGTTGTTTAACGTCACACTCAGCAATTTCCTGTTTATGATGGTTGTCTGTAAATAATCACATCTGACTAGACAATCCAGTGATCAACGGCATGAGCATTGATCTACGTAATTGGAATACGATGACAGGTGTAAACCATGTCAGTGAGCCTGACCACCTGATCGCCTCTTACAGCAAGCAAGGGTCACTGAAGACCAATTCTAACCCAGATCTTCAATGGGAACTTCTCACTAAAGGACACAACCAAACATAACAACTCCCTGAAGAACACATTCATCTCATAACTTCAAAAAATGGCTTTAAACCATGAAAAAAATTGCATGGAACATTAAACATGGGTACAAGTGTATATCTGTCTTGTCTAGATGACTCACATTGTTCTTCAGATCTGAATCACAGCCAGCGTACAGCAGGACCCGGGAGCTCTCATTGTGTCCATTCTGGGCAGCCAGATGTAGTGCAGTAAAGCCTCCCTTGTTGGCGATGAAGGAATCACATTCATGCTTGACCAGCATCTCCACCGTCTTGCTGAACCCATTCCAGGCTGCCTCGTGGGCCGTGTTGCCATTCTACAACACCATCATCAGTTAGATACCACACTCAGTGACTGCATGAAACAATTTACGTTCCAAATTCAATTTAGCTATATTTCCAGGTAACCTCAGTCTGCACTCAAAACAGTCTGCATTCATCAATGAGAGCATCATGAGCAAAATTTAACAACATTTTCAATAAATATTCTAGAACACTGGTGCCCCTTCAGGCAATTGTCACAAGGTTTAGGTTGGGGAAAATATTCTGTTTTATGTTCCAGGGCAAAAATAAAATCTTTTTAAAGTGTGTCCTGATGTCTTCCTTTAGCAACCACAGTACACATGTGCAGACCAACCATCAACCTGACACTTGAGAGCTGTCATCCCTTGTGGTTATTTGTAGAATTTCTTCTGAACTCAGCGGCAATTATCATATATGTTCACTGTTTGACTGAATTTTGCTTTATTTTGACTCAAATTTACAACTGTCGGATCTATTATTTTGCTTTAAAATTCAAACTTTACCTTGTCTTGCTTATTGATGGCACAACCTGCATTGGTGAGAGTCTCAATGACCTCTGCATGACCTTGAGAAGCAGCGCGATGTAATGCTGTGTAACCAAGCTGAAATGAAATCAGTTTCAGGTTAGGAACAATTTTCCCGTTTTGCTTTTTTTAAATAAGATTTGTTGGAGTGAAAACTAAATTTGAATGATAATCTTTGGCTGCAAACAAAACATTCATTGTATTATTCATATTTCAAAGCAATAAATCCCAACCTATCTGTCATAAGTGGGAGGGAGAGCTGGGCATAACAGCACTTTAACAGTATTTCAGCCATAACACTCACTGCTTTACATGGAGGGAAACATCAAAGTGGCACAGGTTGTAGACAATAACCACTTTGGTGAAACCCAGGAGCCCAGACACGGTGCCGACAGATCAAAGTATCATCACTGTTGGGGGGACGGAGAGGAGAGAAAGGGGAATGGGGGAGTTGGAGAGGGGGAAGGAGAGACATACATAGGATTCCTTTCATCCTGATCATCTCAAAGCCTCTACTGGGTGTAACTTCTCAGATATTTCTATCTTGTTTGAATCAGTTTTGAATAAATAAAGTTGAACTTTCACACTGAAGCATAAAAAGGTACTTTAACAGCACCAATATTCTGACTTCTACACACAATCATCAACCTTCAAAGACACCAGTTAACACCAAAAGACTTACTTGCTATATTTAGTACTATTTACATTGACACATTTCTTTGACATAACAGAAGACAAAGTCCATTATTTTTATTTGTTGTATACTCCATTAAATAACAAGTTTAATCAAAGAACTGTTGATAAACTAAAAACATAAAAGTGGAATCTTTACCAAGTCTATCATCAACTTGTTTGCGTTTGGTATATTCCAAGTCTGTCATACAGACCACAAAACAAATATATCCAAGAAAGCCTATGCAAGTCTAAAAAATGTGGCAGGTCTAGATTTCCACAGTTAAGTTTCAGGGCTCCTTTTCATTATATATATGTTGTTGTTTTTTATATTATGAACTGTTTTCCCTTTAAAATATGTTCATTTCAGAGACTAGTTGTTAGTCTAGTATACTCCGTATGATCAGATTCTTTTCATTACAGTGCTCCCTCCAGTGTTGATCCAATGCAGAGATTAAATTACCCCACACCAGGCTGCGAACAGTATGCCCCGAACACTATCCTGTTTGATGTAAGAAAACTCTCAAGGACTGACAGTGAGGATCCATGTCCTGGTAAAGATACTCTTGGCTCAAGTACATCATCTGGGGTCAATCCCAAACTTAATCTGTTCCACACACTGGGAAACTTTAACAATGTTCTGTGAAACGTGTTTGATCATATTTTTATGATAACTAGATCATGAACATTTTGGGATCAAGAACTATATTTTGTTCAGTGATGTATATGTTTTCTCTCTGTGAATTCCTGCTTGTATTGCTTCTGATAACTATCTCAGGAGATTGTCGTATTTGGAATATCATCCATGCATTTTTAATGATGTTTACTGATATGGAATCAAATAACTTTGGTTTCATGTTTCATATAAACTGATAAAACTTGAGTAAATGTTCTTTATCGTTGAGGCATTATGCCTAACAACACACTAAAGTCATATGTACACAACAGTGATCGATTGAAAACAGAATACTATTCTTTCAAGGTCAAAGTTTTCACTTTAAACTCAATTCCATCAGTTTGCTACATTTATCAAGCCTCAAGTTGGCCATTAACACCAGTCCTTGCACTTATCTGATGTTTATCTTTCGAAACTTGTAATAAAGAGATCTTTTAACGCCTCTAACAAATTCCCCCTCTCTGCAAGACATTTGGCATCAATCCCACTGACTCTTGAAAGTAGTTCCGGCAGCCGGCAGGCAGCTGCTATCAGAGGCAGAACACTTCAGGAGAAGGAACCAAAGAGTGACAGATGATTGCAGCCAATGAAAAACCAGGAGTCTGGGACTAATGGCCAATAATAACAGAGATAAGGTGAGAAGTATCCTGTAGAAGACAAGCAAGTCAGACATTTAAATGTTTCCTTCTTGAATGCTGTGAGTGTGTGTGGGATCACAAGGGCCATGTGTTGCTAGGAAAGGCAAGGAGAGGAGAGTTTGTGATGAAAGAGGTACAAGAGCCATTCTCACGTCTCTCACTAAAGGCTGCATCGACTGGGCATAGACCACTCTTGTTTCAGAGTAGATTTAAGTGTCCACTGCCCAATTATGATTTCTTCCAATATACTTTTGTGATAAAAAATATTTAAAAAAATATGTCATGGTTTTATTTACACCCCCCACCCCCAATCCAACTATATGTTAAATTGATTGCCGGGTGTGTTTCCATTTGAATAAGATCAAAGTCATAGCCATGAATTACCCTAAGTGCTATGCAGCAGAGTTTTTTCACAAAAAAGTGAAAAGAGCCAATTTTATGTTACTCCTTATACTTGAGAACATTTTAAACAAACTATATGAAAGCAATTTGTAACGTAAAATATCCTCCATTAGATATATCACTTTCTATATAAATATGTTAATACTATTGATTAAATTTATCAGCAAATAAACATCATTACATCTATCGGATGATGGTACACTATATACACAGAAACATCGAAGTTGACTTGAATGTGTAAAAAATATCAAATAAACTCTGCCATTATTGAAGTCTGGGAGCCACTGTATTCGCAATATTATGTAATTTCAACACAATTCCTTATGGACAAGTATTGTGTTAAAATATATTCTTAGACGTTTATTACATATAATAAAATTTTAAATATTTATGAAATACCCGTAAAAATATTTTCATAATAGACATGATGTGTGACAAATTTGCAATGTTTTGTAAGGAGATATGTAGGGCTGTCAAAAAAGGGAGATAACTCTTGTAAGCCTAAGTGAAATGTTTCCTTCTTCCATATAGTCTTTGCAATGTGTGACAGGTGAATGGTCAATACAACCTAGTTTGACTGCTGTGTCATCTTGAGGGCATTGACACACTATACACACATGGAATAGACATAGACTCCAGAGTTATTGACCTACCTGATATATCAAAGAGGTAGAAAAGAGGTGACAGAGCCAAGTGGTGAAATTATACCTGAAGCCTTCCTCTCAAATAAATGTATTACAAAATACTACAGATACACACGCCTTTTTACTCCATCTTCATAAAAATTACCACACTGAACAAATTCAAATCATATTTCAGAAAATAATAATCTGTTTTGCTATCAAGCTGAATCTTAGGTCTGCCTTTGAGAATAAACATACTTGCATACAAATACTTCTTTCGAACCCTGTCACTTTCCTCTCCAAGAAGGTAAACGTAACAAGAGAAATAACTTGAAATTTCATATTATCATAACAACAAAATTTGTTTTGGCAGACTGTTTTATGGAAATTAGATTTGCTTTCTCCTTGAATGAGCCTGAAACACTTGAAAAGTTTTGTTTTTTTATAAGCCTAGAGCAGTCACAGTAAATACCCGTCTCTACGGCGTGGGGAATTAGACCCGGAGAGCAGACAATGGGTGTAGTGTAGAACATGCCACCCTAAAGCCATTAAACATGGAGGAAATTCTCAAATTTACATAATGCACTGCAGGGTTGTTATTACAAGGGTGCTTGTTGATACAAAACTGTTTGAAATATAAACCAGATTATGAACTTGCTTGGAACAAAAAGCCATGATTCTGTTATATTTCTTCACTCTTAAGGAAGGCAATTCTGTACAGCCAGTTGGGGCACCCTACTGGAGCTGCTATTTAATATTATTTTTTGTGAGAGATTAAACAGGACGTGTTTTCTGACAATTCATTTTTTACTACGGTTTACAATTGTCACATAAAAAGAAACAACACTGCTGCATAAAAAAATGGTGACAAATACATATATAGTCTCTGCTCTCTCACACACACAAATCCCTAAAACAATTGGTTATTGTTTGGTATGGTTGGCAGTGATACTGCCATGATGTAGTGACTTGCAACAGTATATGAAATAAGGCCCGTCCGACCAAGACGGTCTACATTTCTGACAGACGGTCTAAATTTACAGACAGCCAGCCCGTTGGTCTGGTAGAAATTTTAGATGTTCCATACATCTGAGTAAATTTACCATATTTGGTCTGGTTAAATCCATTTTGGGCTGGTAACATTTTGAAGTTACCAGCCCTGATGTCTGGCTGGAGTTTTGGCTTATTTCATACACTGACTCGCAAGTGTGTGTTTTCGTTCTCTAGTGGAAAATCTGGTTGAAAAGGTGAATTTTCCTTATTTTTTTTCAACCTGCCACCTTATATACCTTACCTATTATATACCTTATATCCTTAGCTTATATCCATGAATATGTTACTTTTCAAGGTTTATAATACTTTATTTACCTGTCAGATTCTATTTTCTAAAATTTGTACTTGCAACTCTCAAATGCTGGATCAAGACATAATTTCTAAGGAAAAATTAGCTAGCTATCCTTTTTCTTCATGGCAAAAAAGCAAAACAAACAATTTCGAGGCCACCAGTATCATTGTGCACCATCATGTCCACACATCACAGAGGAATGACAACTATCAGCTACTGATAGCCTCAGTAAAATGCCCCGAAACTCACAATACCAGGATGATTACATTTTAGCAACACAGGATTATAGTCTTAAGGCAACATGTTTTGCGACGAAAAAAAGACGCATTAACTGTGTCATGCGTGAATGATGTCCCTTGAAAGGAACACAAAAGACTCGAAATGAAAGCTTATCGTATCCTGCATATCAGAATAAGGGGGCGATATGGGGCTGTAGACAACAGAGCCTAGTTGTTATGTGTCGTAATGGTTTCTTGGGCGATGTTTATGCTAGAAGAGGCATATAGTTTTCAAATAAGGGGAGGTACATTGCCCAGTGTTTTCTATGGCCAATATAAAAACAAGTTAGTAAGGTAGCCTCTCAGTAATAGCACTGTCCTGTCACCTGAAAATCTAGGTTAAGTTCCCCATCCGTTAGAAATCTATGTACTGGGGTGATGATGGGGTATATCGTTCAGCATACAATAACTTAAAAACCCTACACGTTCTGGATCAGTCCAAGTTTATTGTAAAAGATTAATGTATTCATAATATCCATAAACAAAATGCTGATCCTAAACGAAAACTTAACTGGTTAATGTAATTGTCCCAAATCTTGTATATGACTAGATGCAACTACACAACAGAAGGTGGTATTAGCAAACCACAAACTGCAGGGATGAACTCAAAACAGAACCAGCAGTCTAGATGTTTCCCTACAGAGACACAGATGATCTGCATGGGCATAGAGATATTTCACAACTAAGATTCAACTTGACATATCATTCTGTGTTCATTTGGCGTTTTCCAGACTAAGCCAGAAAAATAATGACTCTTGTCCCAAGATTTTACTGACTACTAGTGCCAACCCCTCTCCTCCGTGCCCATAACATCAAGACCCTGAATTATGGATTACTCCACTATATCTTATTTTCAAAATGTGTCATTGCACCAAACTCTCTGGTTCAATGACATTAAGTTTCATGTCATTGAATGCCATAAACAAATAGTGACTTCATTATGAAAGGTACTCACAGCGTCTTGAGCATCTTTATCACCACCATGCTGCAGCAGCATCTTGCACACCTCCACCTGTCCATTCAAGGCAGCATACTGCAGGGCTGTCCGTCCATCCTGCAACATCCATAAATCTCCTTCAGTACAACTGTCACCATCACACTCATTAACATGGGTCAAGGCTGCTTGCTTTTCATACAATGACAGGAATTATGTGGGTACACTTAATCATTAAAAATATTTTATTACATTAAAAATAAGTTGCTGTAATGCTCATATCTGATTTGTTAGAGGAATGTTACTAATAATTGCTTCATTAGGTCCCCAAAACAGGTTTCTGTATTGGCTGTTCCCTTTTTTCTTTCTGTCAGTATATACTTCGGTTCTTACAAAAAATGAAGCTTCTTTCCTACTAATATAAATGATGTACAAGGGGAACAAAATTATAACATTGTTATTGACCTACTACTTCCTCTACAAGGCTACATGCCCACCAGAATTATTACTAGACTGGAGCTTCGTGTTAACATATTTAATCTTCAGTCCAGGCACCCAATCCACAAAGCACCTGTAACACTAAGCCTATGATATACTGTATAGCTGTGATAACTCATGGCTTTGTGGATCCAGACAAAGCTGATCAGATGGGCCTCGACCGACTCCCGCCGTAGCAAGGGACACAACTCTGACAGAGAAACCTAAAACATAAAGAACCTTGTGCCATCCAACTGTGAGTGAGGGAGTTTTACACCACTTTTAGCAATATTCCAGCAATGTCACAGTGGGGGACACCAGAAAAGGGCTTCACACATTGTACCCTTGTGGGGAATCGAACTTGGGTCTTCGGCGTAACGAGCGAACGCTTTAACAACTTGGCTACCCCACCAGCCCCCATTCAACTGTGGATTCTCTCAGTACCTGATGGATATTTAGTAACAGAATCAGAGTTCGACAAAGTTAGCTACATGCAAATAACTATCAACAATGAAAATTTGAAGTTACATTAAAAACCCATAAGCTTTTAACACAGAAGTGCATTGTTTCCAGAACAGTTGATGGTTGTTGTGCTTGTTGCAACATCCAGGTACACAATATGTCCAACTGTTCATGAGGATTCAAGCAGCGACAAGTATATACCGGTATGAGTCTTTTTGTGTCACGTAAATGACTCTAACCAGATCATCATGAAATATGTTCTGGGTGGGTGACAACACAAACTTCAAAGGTAGTTTGACATCAAGAAATTTCAGGACTGTTACACAACAGGTATTTATAATGAAAACACAGACAGAATGACGTAGTTACTTCAAAGAGGTTGAAACAAAAAAGTGAGTGAGTGAGTAAAATTTGTTTGTTTTTAACACCACACTTAGCAATATTCAAAATATATGGCAGCAGTCTGTAAATAATTGAGTCTGGACCAGACAATCCAGTGATCAACAGCATGAACACGATCTATGCAACTGGGACACGATGATGTGTGAGTGAATGAGTGAAAACTACTTTGAACAGTACAAACATTATACATGTTTTCATATATATCAACAGTAGAAACAGCATACAAACAGCTATAACAGTGAGTTAAAGTCACTTTGAAGAGTATTATATTAATTACAAGTTTTTCTAGCATAATGTGGCATGACAACCGTTACTACTGACAAGCCAAGAATGATAGCCTGTCCCACACTGGAACCGAGTCCAAGACCTCAGAGCCACCTGTGTGACATGCATCATCATCTGACAAGCCAAGAACGATAGCCTGTTCCACACTGGAACCGAGTCCAAGACCTCAGAGCCACCTGTGTGACATGCATCATCATCCTATGATCTATATCGTCATAGTCATGACATCACTTAGTAGTCACGTGAGCTAACGGCAATTGACTACTTCGTTTCTGACTATGACTTGGTAGAACAACAATCAAACTTCCACTTACAGGTAAAACTATTAATTATTCAATTATCTCAATAATTTCTTCAGCAGATTCTTACAAGATCATTTATATCCTCTTCAGGGCCCTAAGTTGCATATTTTCTCCAAAGAACCAAACAGTACTACCTCTCACCACGGCATGCACTCAATACCACTGAGCCTGTGATCCCCTTCCATGGTAATCTACCCATCCGACAGTTATGTGGGACCTAATCTATTGTGGAATCCATGCAGACTAAATATTCAGGTTGCCTTTCTTCCATTGAGAACAACACCCAAACTTGTTGCAGGATACAAGCATACTCAAAATAAAAACGTATCAATTTGAAAGTCGACAGTCCAGCCAGTAGTTTCCTGAATCCATCTGATGTCATTGATTAGCGAGTGTAGGTTACAAATGACTTTAGCTTTATACAAACAGACTCCTCAATTGATTTTCCCAGTTGTGGCTGAACAATGTACGGAATGCCTGGGAAAGCCAGCCAGTAAATTACTCTGTGTGTGTGGTGGCCTTGATTCCAATGTAATTTTGTGCCGACTCAATAGCAGAGGGGTGTGAATTCTAACACCCTGGGTGTACACAGCCTTGCGCTCGCACACAGACCTATACAAAACTCACGGCTCAGTGTTCTGCACAAATAAGTTTACATATACTTCATATATTCAGGCAGCAGTTTGTGTGAGTGAATCATTCAGCTTGGCCTTACACTGGTTTGAAGAGTTCAGACTCGATTATTTATGCCGCTGTCACACAGCTGGAATATTGCAGAGTGTGGCGTTAAACAACAAACAAACGTAATAAAGGCGGGAGCTAGAGATCAACAACAGACATACACTACTGAATCATGGCTTAATACCTGTATATGCATATGTTTAACACCATGTCTTATTGTACAATGAGTGAATGAGTGAAGCCTGATCACATCGAAATCCTAGATGAAATGAAATGAAATAACACAGGTATGACCCTGACAAAACTAAAACAAACATTACAAATGTTTTTTTTCTACATGATCAAACACAGCAAAATTCCATCTTCATGAAAGCAGGCAGAAAATATTCAGTCTGGACCAGACAATCATGTGATCGTTATTACACAGAATTTCCCAGGTCTGAAGACATGCAGTGAGCCAGATCCTCCTTAATTATCACCACCTTGTATGACAAGCACAGGTATCAGGGGAACTTTCCTAAAACCATCTGGGGGTTTTGGATAGTATATTAAGACCGGCCCCATCCCTAAAATCAACCATCGGGACACAAAGCATGACATGCAAGTTTTTAATACTCTCATTTCTATGCCACTACAATTTCATGGTACTTTGAACAGTGCATGAAACCATGACATGAAGCCTGTCAGCAAACTATCAATTACCTTTCAGAAACACACAGCTTATTTCATAAAAAAACTGAAGCAATACATGATTTTATCTTTAAACAATTAGGTTTTCTTTCCATTTCCATGATCAAAAAGGGTAACCATGTGGCTGTTTGATCCATATCACTCCAAAGGTCACGTTCATTACTCTTGTTTCAGATTTTGATAAATTGAGCTTACTCTACGTCTGTAGTTGACAAACAGTTGTGCTGTGTATTATCCTCCAGGAAATGGTTGAGGGAACAAAAGAAAGGTATATTTGATATGTCAAGTGAAGTCATTTGCTATGATAAATACATAATTAGTTTGATTTACTAACCAAGGACCTGTTCATATACCTGTTAATGCAAAGATCAAAAGGGTTGGTACACAGGTACACCCCTGATCTGACAGGTAAAGAAACCAGGTGTAACTGCCCCTGGTCATAGAGGTCCGACTCAAGACAAATTACAGTGTGGACAAGGGTTATATAATTAACAGCATTAACAGGGCATAGAAGGAGACTGCTTTCAGGTGTACCCAGGCATATGAACTAAATTCTAGTTTTGATTGTTCATAATTATATAGTAAATTGTCTGTTTCAGTTCCTTTCATTAGCGGGATACAAAGAATGATTGTGTTTTCTCCATAAGAATTGCTACCTTTCTATGTCTAAAGAATGAGTTTGAAAGAAGAGGAAATTCCAAATGTAAAGTGTTTATTTCTGAAATGGCCGAGTGAGTATGGTCCTATGGAGCAATATCTCAAATAGTGCCTATGCCAACTGGTTAACTTATAACAGCTTGTAGTATGACTGTTGTATTTATTTCCCTTAAACTCATCAAGGTTGTGCGAACACCTGACATCACCTGCTCATGAGTGAGTGAGTGAGTTAAGCCCAATCACATCTAAATCCTACATGTTTACAACTGAGTGAGTGAGTGAGTGAGTGAGTGAGATCTACTTATTTATGTGGAACACAACATGTTTTGGACACAACTTCATTCATCCAATGAAGAAGTAACCATATAATACGAATCATTGTCTTCTTCACAATAAAGGAATAGACATCCATAAATCCTTTCCCTTTGTTAATTTTACAGACTGTTAGTTAACACAGACAGAAACTTGTGCAGGACAAAACATGAAACTGGTGACACTGCCCAGTGCAATAAGGAAACACATGCCCTCCCACCCATTATCAGCCCAACAAGAAAGAGTTGTTTATGGAAACAATATACGCGTAACAAATTGCTTGACTGGCAATCAAATGTGATGGAATCACTTGCAATATATCAGAAACTCAATGACCTGAAGTAGATAAGTCACCTCTTTAAAGACGGTGACTTATTATGTCATTATATTTCAGCCACCTCCTGTAACACACAGCTGGGATTTGAAAATTGTTGTTTGAATACAGCAAGTGTTTCAATACAGTTCAAAACACGCAACATGGATATACAGATTAATGGCAACTTTTCATGATGTCAACCTTGAGTGACACAATAGTGATTTATGGCTCTGCGGACTGCAGTTGTTTTGGGAATTCTGCCCCCCTGAAGAGGTAAAACTGGCTGTGCAATCTCCAGTTGCAATAGTGACACTATTATGTAACCTATGCCTGGTATTTCCTTCAATCACTGATGTTCTCCGGAACCTTACACACCCATGACACTGCACTCAACTTCAAACTCAAGTTAAGGTCACCCCAAGTAACCTGCCCTCAACAACTGAACTTTGGAATTTGTACACGGGTTAAGGTTTCTGTTGGTGTGTGGGGACACCTGGTGGCAGAAAGGAGAAACGTGACGTAAGGGATATCTACTGGGGAAGTTACTCTGACTTTGTTCTGGTAAATGATCCACACAGTCATGGGGCAGGGTTTTACCTCGACTCACTAACATCGGATCCCAGGGACCCTTAATTATTAGCTTCAAGGGTTCTTGCAGGCAATTCAAGGGTCCTGTGAAGTAACATTTTACAGAACTGTATGTTTTGATCATTTCTTAAGAGCCTGGAATGAATCATTGATTATGTGGACTGATGGGTGAAATGATGCATGCAACTGCTCTAAGAGAAAGAATGGAAATCATAGCAAAGTCACAGATGTGTTGTGGATACAGTGAATTGTGCACCCCTCTGGGGTGAATTCTTTCTTGCGTCCATTCCCTTCATTTGGGCATACTGGATACACATTTATGCGTCATGTAAAACCCTGATGTGTAGCACTACCCTATTCCTTAACACCTATTTAATACCTAGTTAGTACGATCAAGTAGCATCTTTACAACATCAACCTCATCCACCCTTTACCCACCCCTCATTCACCTAACACCTCTTCACTCCCCCTCAATACCCATCGACACCCAACACCATAAATCTTCTAATGACATAATTATAGTTATGAAGTGATTGGACAGAGTATTTTTTATTAATTAGCCCTTGACTTAGCAGCCATAAATTCATTTTCAATAAGCTCACTGTATATGGATAAAACAGATTCCTGCAATACTAACATAACAGGTTACAGAGGTATCATTTCTTGTATCTATCTTGTCATTTGATGAACATAAAAAGTAATTATAAAATCAATATTCATTTTCGGAAAAACAATTTCAGAAGTAATTTAACAAAAAGAACGAAACTGCAATCAGATATAAATGTCTAACAATAACTACAGAAACATATCAAAATTAAATGAATTAAGACTGCCTCAAAATATGTTGTCCTGTTTGGAATTAATTGTAAATGTTCCACTTTGGGGTGTCACAAAGACACAGTTTGAGGTGACAAGTCTTTGTATTTGTCTCGGTAAGGTAAAGAGTGGATTGTTTGCCAACATGTATGCTGTGCCTCAAGTCCTGTGACTCCCTGCTCAAATCTCCAGCGCAAACTGAAGCTACGTCGCACAGGTAAACAAGGCTTGTGTACATTCTCTTCTGTCAACAATCTTTGTCTAAACTATTTGATTTATGGATTCCGTGCACCATTCCGGTGCTTGAAACAACGCTGTTCACAGTGGCTAATGCAGTACTTTGCTTAAGCAATCAGCTGAATTCTTGACTTTTTCCACTATCAATGTGTTTGGGGACTGGGAGGTTTAATACCAAGATGGAGCAATTGTGATAGAAAAAGAATGAGAAAAAGGGAATCGCAAGGTCATATCATATTGGCTACTTCTTAACAGAGATCCATGTGATTGTTATTTTGGAACCCACTGTCACAACACTGGACTAAATCAATCCATTTCTGACTATGTTCACAACACATACACATGAGGCTCAAAGATGAACAATTCTGCTCATATCGAATATCCAACACTAAAAGGTCATTCAGGTTGTGTAAGCAAACTAAGCAAGTATCATCAGGCCAAATAGGGCCATCATTAAAATAAAAATTTCTTCTATTTTTGTAAGCAGTATCCATTATAATATTGTTTACAAAAAGATATGCCATGGTTCCCACATTCTGGAAAACATTAAGGCTAACGATGTTTTTGACAAGAAGACTCAGACAAGAAGAAATAAATAATTATGTCCATAAAAATCCTATCATTTCTTTTTGGCTTCACAAATTGCTTCATAAATAAGCAATATTTACAACTAATGTTTTTCACTAAATAATGAATATTACAATATAAATCATTAATCCTAAAAACAATATAAACTAAGGAACATGTTAAACTCAGTAACACCATAGGTAACAAGCTACACATCAGGTAGGATTACCTCCCCTAGAAACTTTCTCACATGGTGAAGTCAACAATACCCTAATGGCTTTCAACACAAAATGTATTCTCAGCAGGGGGTCTCTCGACATTTTTCCTCGACTTATTCATCACCAAATACAATTGCCTATTATATGAAGTAGATATTATGATAAAATATCAACATATATGACAGTATTGACCCCTGAACTCAATCCTTTCTGGGACACTTTCATCAAACAGGCTATAGCTGCGAATGTTGACATTATTCAGCTGCATTTGGGGACATACTTTTACAAAAAGTGACACCTAATAAATTAAAGGTCACTTGAAGTTTTATTTCCTCATAAATATTTGATGTAATTTTGTTTTGGAATTCGCCCTCCACAGCTTGTGACAAATGATATATAAGGTTTAGCAGTGGAAGAATATTGTGTTCCACACTTTTTTCCTGATAATACAATGAAATGATATCATCCAAACATATTCTTAGTGCAATAATCCTGGATTAACCAATAAGAATTAAATCTTCTTGATAATAATTGTATTATAAGCAGGAATTCTCATTATGAGAGACTGAGTGAGCGAGTCTGGTTTTGAGCCGCTTTTAGCAATATCATGGCAGGGAACACCTGAAAAGGGCTTCACACATTGTACCTATGTGGGGAATCGAAACCAGGCCTTGGGCGTGACAAGCGAACACTTTAACCACTGGGCTACCCCACCGCCCCAGTGGGAGTCTGAACCAACAGGGATTTACTTTATTCTGGCAATACTCTGGATAAAGACACAAGAACCCAGCGACTACCAAAATTAACTCACCTATATGCTCAGGGCACACTATATGTATGAGAACCTACTGGTGGATTTATGCAAGGTCTAACCTTGTAGTACCCTTCCTACAAGACTACTCTGTCAGCACAAATGCAGCATACATGTGTATTGATTACCCATAGTGAATGGAGGCATGATATATGTTTACCTGGTCACTGCCTTAATCATGAATGCCTGCAGCCATGTGAGATAACAAACTCATAAACTACTGCTCTTTCGGAACTCAGAGGTGGCAAACAATTACCCTTTTGAGGTGCAAAGTGTCCCATGCAGGACAAACACTTGTCAGAGTTCAAGGTTCAGTGGTCTAGTGTTGTGAGAATTTCCCTGCCAGTCTGCAAGGTGCCCTAAGTAGGGTGATTGTTTAACCTATCAGGGTGCAAAACCGCCATTGTTGAGACAAGGTGCCATATGAAGTGATCCCTTACCCTGTTAGGGTGCTCTATGTAGGGTGCCCTATGTAAGGAGATCACTTACCCTGTTGGGGTGCAAGGTGTCCTATGTAGTGTCAATACTTACCCTGTCAAGGTGCCCTGTGTAGGGATAACGCCTACCCTGTCAGGGTGCAAGGTGCCCTATGTAGGGTTAACACTTACCCTGTATGCATGTAGGGTCAATACCCTTACCCTGTCAAGGTGCCCTGTGTAGGGATAACGCCTACCCTGTCAGGGTGCAAGGTGCCCTATGTAGGGTTAACACTTTCCCGTATCAGGGTGCAAGGTGCCCTATGTAAGGTACACTTATCCTATCAGGGTGCAAGGTGCCCTATGTAAGGTTAACACTTACCCTATCAGGGTGCAAGGTGCCCTATGTGGTGTTAGCACTTACCCTATCAGGGTGCAAGGTGCCCTATGTGGGGTTAACACTTACCCTATTGGGATGCAAGGTGCCCTATGTGAGGTTAACACTTACCCTATCAGGGTGCAAGGTGGCCCCTGTCTGAAGCAGCTCCTGTACCTTGTCCACCAGCCCCTTACTGGCAGCCAGACGGAGCTTGTCCTCCAGGGACCCCAGGGGCAGAGGTGTCACAGGGGTAGGGGATGAGGGCGCAGCCTGGGTGGGGCCATTCATCTCTGTAACAGAGGGTCATTGACATGAACATGATGGCAAATAAATGTACTTCACTTCACAAATGGTTGTCTCCCAAAATCCCTACAGCCCAGTACCAGGCAACTCTTCTTCAACAATTCAGACTTGTTTCAGAAACAAAATGTTAAATAATGTCAAACATTAGGTCTTGACTTGCTCTTTATACTGGAGGCCTTGTTGGTGGGTGATGTTCATCTTCATATACTGGTTTAATATGATATACTGATATTGAGCAGACTCTGGAGTTGGATATATTAAAAGATGACCATGTCATCCACATGAGAACTTAACTCAGACAGAAAGATAAACATAATGTCCACTGTCCCACCCGAAACCCCATCAGTGTGACACACAATAATCAGCCATGTGAAAGTAACATAGCTTCTTACAGCTTCTCTTACACTGTGAACACAATGTTACTGTCAGTTGAAAAACATTTCTGAGTGAACAAATGTTCACGCTACATCAGATAGTCCTCGTCCCTATCACACAATTACTGTCATCAGGTAAAAACATCATAATGATATAATCCTGATTACATAAACTGAAGTAATGAACAGACAGTACTGAACCTTTTAAACCATAACCTTTTTATTACCCAGCATGCAAGCAGGTCAAATAAAGAAATCATGAGCTAAGGCACATTACCATTTGAGAAAAATAGAAATTAGTGCCCTTTAAAAAAACATGTGCACATGACCAACAGTGAAGGCTCCAGGTAAAGCAATAGTCTTATATAGATGATCAATTGTCAAACCTAAGTCTATCCTGGGCAAGGACATATTTCCAGACTGTGAGTCTCCAGGCCTGCACATTTATTCAGTGTCACAAACACCATTGCCTCCACCGCGATGCAGACACTCTTCCAAATATCATATCTTACATTAGTGTCAACAATCAGAGGACCCAACCCTTTGGACAATGTACATGAGTCTGCATAGAAGTCACATTAACACTACAGAACCTTAAACACTCAATATTAAAGATTCAATTCCCAGTCTACATGAGTCTGCATAGAAGTCATATTAACACTACAGAACCTTAAACACTCAACATTCAAGATTCCCAATGTACAAGGGGATACAGTAATAGTGTAAATGTCATCTCTCATTATCATGATGCATTACTGTATTACTCCAGAGTATTTACCTGTTATCGTTTTGAATGCTAGAAGACACAACTACAAAATCTGTCACTGGCATTTGGATGAGTGAGGTATCATGCTGGTTTTAGCAATATTCCAGCGGGGGACACACATCGTACCCATGTGAGGAATCAAACCTGGATCTTCAGTGTGACAAGTCAACACTATAACTACTAAGCTACTCTACTGCCCCAAAAATTTGAAAAAAAAGAGGAGAATAGAAACTTCTTTACTATTTGTAGCCACAATTGAAGGTAACTGCATAGCTTAATCAGGTGATCGTTTGTAACAATGTTTAACAGCTATTTCTTCACTGATAGAAGATCTCCTTCAAATAACATATAAAGTGCTGTGCTAATTCTTTTGGTGGAATATAGACTGTCCCTGCTTGTACCAAGTAACATAATTCATTGAACAGTATCATTTCACATAAAAGGAGTGGTCACTCACCTAATCATACTAAAGTCTCACAAGTATCTGGTCTTGATACCTTTTGACAGGTAATCAAATTGTGCCTAACACAGCAATCCACCTGCTTTTTCCTTCTGATGAAATACAGGGAACTCCAGATGCACTAATCAAAGGTACAGTCTGCACTAATCAAAGGTACAGTCTGCACTAAACTAACAGACTACTCACTCTCACTAATATACCCGGAATAAATCAACAAATTACAGACATACCTTCTAATTAGCTTCTCAGACCTCACCTGTCTGTGACTAACAAGCTCAGGTGTGACATAAGACGGATTGTTCCCCACACTCACAGACACTGTTGTTTTAACTATAAAGCTGTAATTAGTTGAGGTATGGCAAAATTGATTCATCTCTAATTAAGCAGTCCCCTTTAATATTTGATGTCTGACCAGTGCTCTTAGTCGACAACAGTCAGCACCTTTAGACAATAGATGGATTAATCTTGTTAGCCAGCTAAGCAAACACTTCATTTCCCTGACCTAATTATAATCAACATCAATCAGTGGATTAAAACAATTTATGCTGAGCATTAAGAAAACCTGCAGCCCTCAAAGGCATTCATTTAATCACCACTTCTTATTTAGTCATCCCTCAGTTTTGTCTCGACAATAATCCTCTTTACAGCAGAGATCCGTCTGAGTCAATTAATTTTCAACAATACCTGTTGTACAATCTTAGTTATGCATCAACAGTTATGAAAATTGGATCATCTGTGAAGGTTTTTATCTTCCAATGAAAAGGTCTTGTTCAAATTTCATGACTTGCAAATATGTTGTGCTGAGTCATCATAACATTACCTTGAAAATTCGATCTATGTTTACTTTTCATTAACCTTACAGAAAGGTTAAAGAATGAAAAAGTTTCAACATCCAACTTTTGGACAAATTGGTAACTGGAACCTCATTGCAATATCACACTCTATCCTTTCATGGCACCTTTTACTCTCCCTTTAAATCTGAACAGTATCCGCACCAAAATTCAAAATTCCGTTATTCAAAATTATCCTACCTGTCAAAAAACTTTCACATTCATTCTGAGTGTAGGATCCAATAACCCATCATCATCAAGAGAGGGGGATTTCACCAGGCACAATCGCCCAGTGAGATTCATTAAACACTTTCCTACACCACCACATCAAACGATGCCAGCTACATTAATGAAATAAGCAAATACCACACAGTGTCCGAATACCTCCACAAATTATTCACCCAGCATGATCCCAACGTGTGTGTTGATGTCATGCTCCCAGCTGCCGGCCATGATACTTTCACCCAGTACAATGGCTGGTAATACCTGTAGCGCCTACACCAGCATGGGCTAAGTCTACGTGTATTGTTGACATTCGACAATACTCACACATGGGATGATTGAAACCAATAAATACATTCTTGTTGTTTAATTTGATGTATTGGGGCTATAATATTAGCGAAATGTCATGAAAAGGCCAGTGTGATGTTGGGACAGCAAATGTTTGTGTTTGAACTAAGGTCTGTGGGAAAAGTATGTGTTCCTTTTTGCTGTCGTCCTCAACCTGTGAGTGAGTGGGTGAGTTTAGTTTTACCCTGCACTCAGCAATATTCCAGCTATATGGCAGCGGCCTGAAAATAATCGAGTCTGGACCAGACAATCTAGTGATCAACAGCGCGAGCATCGATCTGCATAATTGGGAACCGATGACTTGTGTCAACCAAGTCAGCGAGCCTGACCACCCGATCCCGTTAGTCACCTCTTACGACAAGCATGGGCTACTGAAGATCAATATTCTAACCTGGACCTTCAATGGGTCCTCAACCTGTATTTGAACAGCATAGTGTGATCAGCGAGACACAGTTATAAATATTACTACCTGACAAGTAACAGAACCCAGGTACTCATTATCATTATTTCAAAACTTAACATCCGCTTAAGTAGCTTAGTGGATAAAGCATTTGAATGTCACGCCGAACTCCCTGGTTTGATTCCCCACATGGGTACAATGTGTGAAGCCAATTTCTGGTGTTCCCTGACGTGATACTGCTGGAATATTGCTGGAATATTGCTGGAATATTGCTAAAAGCAGCGTAAAACAAAACACACTCAAAACCTGACCCAGACCAGAGTATATTATCTTAATGGCAATATGCCACACATCTGCATTTTATCATGTTGCCTTTCTTCAAGAACAATTGACTTGGCTGTGCATGTGTTTGTGACTGCTACCACAAGTATAGCAGAATAAAGTAAACTTGTTGCAGATATCTGGCACTGGCATTATTTGATAGGGAGTTACAAACACACAATCTTGTTTCAGTTGGAAACATACAGTTTTAAGCAGAGACCTTTTGTGTTCATGCTTTTTGTTGCTTGTATTTAGCATCATCTAAATCTAAATGTGTCCACACACTGCACTGTTCTTCCTCTGTGTCTGGCACACATGTGAGCAGAACAGAACAGAACAGAGCATTTCATTCTCTAAAAACCCACCCATGGTGGTACATAAGAACATAAGCTAAGTGTACATGGCACATATATCCCTCTGGTTGTTTACTTAAGAGGTTATGGTGGATTTGAAATATGAACCTGAAAGTCATCAAGAAGCTTGTATTTTGAAACTGCAAAATATTTTCTGAACCAATAACTAACAAAATCAAATTCCTAATCACTTTATAATGACTTATAAATTCTCAGGTTTTAAGGTCTCTTAAATACAATATGGTACCGTGACACTAAACCAGTTTATCATCAGCTTGTCCTCGGCAAGTGACAGCCAGACAGGGTGATAGTCTTCTACAGACTCAGTCTTCAACTTACTTTAGTCAAGATTCACATTGATAAGACTTATATTACTATCTGATGTTCCAAGACAGTCTCAGCTTACATCATTAGTCCTGTACAATAGACGAAAAACATCAGGGAAAACACCCACAAGGTGCTGTAGGTGCTCGGACTGAAGAAAACATTTTAGGATGATTCAACCATATTATGCTGACACAAATATAAAGTGACTTAGCAAAATGGGTGAAAGAAATAAGGGAAAAACATGGCTTGTTACTGTCAACTGAGCACTGAAGTCAAGCTCCAATCATGACTCATAGATCAACCTTATTTCTATCACTTTTCTCAGAAATGTTCCTCTATCCGTGCCAGGTGGTACATGGGAATAACATTTCAAACCTTTTAGCAGAATGAAATATTTAAAAGTTCAAATAGAACCACAATGGTTTGAACAGCAGGTGAGTTAAAAATTGTCACTTTCTTCTCACACCTGACTAGGCAAGAATGCAACTGCTAAAACAGCGTGCATTCCGTGGAACTCCACCGTTACCACGGGGGCTACTGTGATCTCACACCGTGACAGTGTCTGTATTCAGTGTAAACAGATATG